AGACTCCCTCTGCTGTCTAGGTTTGGAAGTACTGTGAGGTTAACAGATTTGCTTCTTATAGTTACTACTCAGTTGAACAGGCTTTAAAATACAGAGAGAATCATATTTTTTTCTTCATTTTTTGCTTTTATTTATATTTTTTATTTTAATTGGAGACATGACAAGAATTGACTTGTGTATGGATCTTGCATAATTTAAGTATTGCAGGTTTGAAATCTCTTCTACCACTTTGAGAGTGCCATTTTTCACATTGTATACTATTAGGTTGAAAATTATTATGGCTTAAAATCATTTTTAGCCATTAAATTTAAATAACTTTGCTTTAATCATAAATAGATGGTGGTCACAATGACTGTTAAACTCTTTGAAGACAGGATATTTAGCTTTATATGGCAAGCTTTAGAATACCTAATATATTAAACAGAAATTAAAACTTTATGGGATAAAGAGAGAATCTCCTCCAAATTGGTAAACTATAAGATCTTTCAAATGATTTAGCTAATTTCTCCACAAATCTGAGGTATTAGTTTTTGTTTTTGTTTTTTTAAGTGGTATTCTCCTGTATTGGGGTCACTTTAAACCTTTTTCTTAATGATAAATATGAATTGAAACTAATCCCTTAATACATATTATTTGAAAACTGAAATAATATGTTTAGATACTGTTTACTTCTTGATAAATTTATTGGAATAGGATGTTCTAATACTGTTTACTTCTTGGTAAATTTTTAAATCCAATGGATTTTACATAAGTATAGAACCAGAGCTCAAATACTGTTACTGTGTGTGAAGACTTATGAAAACAGTTTACAGTTGCATGGCTTATATTTAAAGTTCACAAACATAAGGACAATTAAGTGTGCACACACACACATGCATTTGGATTTTGGTGACTTAGGTTTGCCAATGTGGAAAAAATAGCAAATTAAGTTCTCCTGTGAAAAAGTCATTACCTTATTTAAAATTCTGTGCCATTGGTTATCCTTGTCTTTTGTGAATATTGAGTGTTCCTGTTTATAATACTGACATCTATGCGGATGACTTAGGAATTCTAAAAGTCTGACATATGTAATATATATTCAGTTGCCTGAAGAGAAACATAAAAAATCCTTTCTTAATATTGTTTCCATTAATAATGGAAATTTGTTACCTGTACACATGAAGCCATCGTATATATTCACATTTTAATACTTTTTATGTATTTCAGGGTGTTGATGATGCCTTCTATACATTAGTTCGAGAAATTCGAAAACATAAAGAAAAGATGAGCAAAGATGGTAAAAAGAAGAAAAAGAAGTCAAAGACAAAGTGTGTAATTATGTAAATACAATTTGTACTTTTTTCTTAAGGCATACTAGTAAAAGTGGTAATTTTTGTACATTACACTAAATTATTAGCATTTGTTTTAGCATTACCTAATTTTTTTCCTGCTCCATGCAGACTGTTAGCTTTTACCTTAAATGCTTATTTTAAAATGACAGTGGAAGCTTTTTTTTCCTCTAAGTGCCAGTATTCCCAGAGTTTTGGTTTTTGAACTAGCAATGCCTGTGAAAAAGAAACTGAATACCTAAGATTTCTGTCTTGGGGTTTTTGGTGCATGCAGTTGATTAATTCTTATTTTTCTTACCAATTGTGAATGTTGGTGTGAAACAAATTAATGAAGCTTCTGAATCATCCCTATTCTGTGTTTTATCTAGTCACATAAATGGATTAATTACTAATTATAATTTCAGTTGAGACTTTCTAATTGGTTTTACTGAAATATTGAGGGAACACAAATTTATGGGCTTCCTGATGATTCTTCTAGGCATCATGTCCTATAGTTTGTCATCCCTGATGAATGTAAAGTTACACTGTTCACAAAGGTTTTGTCTCCCTTTCCACTGCTATTAGTCATGGTCACTCTCCCCAAAATATTATATTTTTTCTATAAAAAGAAAAAAATGGAAAAAAATTACAAGTCAATGGAAACTATTATAAGGCCGTTTCCTTTTCACATTAGATAAATTCCTATAAAGACTCCTAATAGCTTTTCCTGTTAAGGCAGACCCAGTATGAAATGGGGATTATAGCAACCATTTTGGGGCTATATTTACATGCTACTAAATTTTTATAATAATTGAAATAATTTTAACATGTATAAAAAATTCTCATAGGAATTAAATGTAGTCTCCCTGTGTCAGATTGCTCTTTCATAGTATAACTTTAAATCTTTTCTTCAACTTCAGTCTTTGAAGGTAGTTTTAATTCTGCTTGTGACATTAAAGATTATTTGGGCCAGTTATAGCTTAGTAGGTGTTGAAGAGACCAAGGTTGCATGGCCAGGCCCTGTGTGAACCTTTGAGCTTTCATAGAGAGTTTCACAGCATGGACTGTGTCCCCGTGGTCATCCAGTGTTGTCATGCATTGGCTGGTCAAAATGGGGAGGGACTAGGACAGTCTGGATACGTCAACAAGATACATTCTCACTCTGTGGTGGTCCTGCTGACAAATCAAGCGCATTGCTTTTGTTTTTTAAGAAAATGAACTCTTTTTTAAAAATTACTTTTAAATATTAACTCAAAAGTAGAGATTTTGGGGTGGTGGTGTGCCAAGACATTAATTTTTTTTTCAAACAATAAAGTGAAAAAGTTTTACAATCTCTAGGTTTGGCTAGTTCTCTTAACACTGGTTAAATTAACATTTCATAAACACTTTTCAAGTCTGATCCATATTTAAGAATGCTTTAAAAATAAATATTAATAATCCTTTTGATAAATTTAAAATGTTACTTATTTTAAAATATATGAAATGAGATGCCATGGTGAGGTGAAAGTATCACTGGACTAGGAAGAAGGTGACTTAGGTTCTAGATAGTTGTCTTTTAGGACTCTGATTTTGAGGACATCACTTACTATCCATTTCTTCATGTTAAAAGAAGTCATCTCAAACTCTCAGTTTTGTTACAACTATGTGATTTATATTCCGTTTACATGAGGATACACTTATTTGTCAAGCTCAGCACAATCTGTAACTTTTTAACCTATGTTACACCATCTTCAGTGCCAATCTTGGACAAAATTGTGCAAGAGGTGAAGTTTATATTTGAATATCCATTCTCGTTTTAGGACTCTCCTTCCATGTTAGTGTCATCTTGCCTGCCTACCTTCCACATGCCCCATGACTTGATGCAGTTTTAATACTTCTAATTCCCCTAACCATAAGATTTACTGCTGCTATGGATATCTCCATGAAGTTTTCCCATTAAGTCACATCAAAATGCCCTATATCTTACTTCCTCAGGACTCGAGGATCTGACAGATACCATAATGGGATTTGACCTAATCACTAATTTTCAGGTGGTGGCCGATCCTTTGAATATCTCTGCTGCCCAATCCATTAACGACAGTAGGATTTTTCAGACCTGGTATGAATAGACAGAACCCTATCCAGTGGAAGGAGAATTTAATGAAGATAGTACTGAAAGAATTCCTAAGGTAATCTACAACTAGGACTACTCCTGGTAACAGTAATACATTCCATTGTTTTAGTAACCAGAAATGCTTTTTTTTTTTTTTTTTTTCTTTTTGGTGTCAGAGTCTCACTCTGTCACCCAGGCTGGAATGCAGTGGTGCCATCTCGGCTCACTGCAACCTCCATCTCCCAGGTTCAAGCGATTCTCGTGCCTTGGCATCCTGAGTAGCTGGGATTACAGGCATGTGCCACCACACTTGACTAATTTTTGTAGTTTTAGGAGAGAGAGGGTTTCACCCTATTGGCCAGGCTGGTCTCGAATTCCTGACCTCAAGTGATTCACCCGCCTCAGCCTCATAAAGCTGTTTTGCAGAACTCATTTATTCAGCAAATATTTATTGAGTGCCTACCAGATGCCAGTCACTTCACAAGGCACTGGGTATATGGTATCCCCAAACAAGAGACATAATCCTGGTCCTTAGCTAGTGCTAGCGTGGTCTGTACTATCTGAGTAAGGCTTTTAGCCTATGGCCCAGAGATAACACAGTGCGTATTTTAGTTTTGCAAAGAGGGGTTTGGTCCCTGTGCCTGCTCTACAATTGTTTTGCTATGATTCCAGTGAAACTCTTTGATCGAGCTACTTTATGTAAATCACTTCATTGTTTAAAGGAATAAACTTGATTATATTGTTTTTTTTAATTTGGCATAACTATGTGATTCTATTGAGACAGTTACTGTACACATTAAGGTATATGTCAGATATTCATATTGAAATTCCCAAATGTGTAATATTCCAGTTTTCTCTGCATAAATAATTAAAATATACTTAAAAATTAATAGTTTTATCTGGGTACAAATAAACAGGTGCCTGAACTAGTTCACAGACAAGGAAACTTCTATGTAAAAATCAGTATGATTTCTGAATTGCTATGCTAAACTCCAGATCTTTGGAACATTGTTTGGATAGGGTGTTAAGACTTACACAGTACCTCTTGTTTCTACACAGAGAAAGAAATGGCCATACTTCAGGAACTGCAGTGCTTATGAGGGGATATTTAGGCCTCTTGAATTTTTGATGTAGATGGGCATTTTTTTTAAGGTAGTGGTAATTACCTTTATGTGAACTTTGAATGGTTTAACAAAAGATTTGTTTTTGTAGAGATTTTAAAGGGGGAGAATTCTAGAAATAAATGTTATCTAATACCGCCTTAAAGATAAAAATCCTTGTTGAAGTTTCTTTTTTTTTTTTTTTTTTTTTAAAAGCTAAATTACATAGTCTTAGGCATTAACATGTTTGTGGAAGAATATAGCACACATATATTGTATCATTTGAGTGAATATTCCCAAATAGGCATTCTAGGCTCTATTTAACTGAGTCACACTGCATAGGAATTTAGAACCTAACTTTTATAGGTTATCAAAACTGTTGCCACCATTGCACAATTTTGTCCTAATACATACATAGAAATGTTGTGGGGCATGTTAAGTTACAGTTTGTACAAGTTCATCTCATTTGTATTCCATTGATTTTTTTTTTTCTTCTAACCATTTTTTCTTCAAACAGTATATAACGTCAGGGGATTTTTTTTTAGATAGAAATCTTTGTCAAAAAGTAATGAATTCTTGATAATTATGTAGTAATGTTTTTAAGAACCCAGCAGTTATTTAATAACTTCTGTGTTAATACTGGATAGCATGAATTCTGCATTGAGAAACTGAATAGCATACAACTGATAGCTGTCTGTCAGAAAATGAAAATTTCTTTCTAAAGATACATGAGTTCTTTGAAGAATAGTCATAACTAGATTAAGATCTGTGTTTTAGTTTAATAGTTTGAAGTGCCTGTTTGGGATAATGATAGGTAATTTAGATGAATTTAGGGCAAAAAAAAGTTATCTGCAGAAATGTTGAGGGCCCATCTCTCCCCACCACACCCACATAGAGCTAACTGGGTTACAATGTTTTATCCGAAAGTTTCCAATTCCACTGTCTTGTGTTTTCATGTTGAAAATACTTTTTTGCATTTTTCCTTTGAGTGCCAATTTCTTACTAGTACTATTTCTTAATGTAACATGTTTACCTGGAATGTATTTTAACTATTTTTGTATAGTGTAAACTGAAACATGCACATTTTGTACATTGTGCTTTCTTTTGTGGGACATATGCAGTGTGATCCAGTTGTTTTCCATCATTTGGTTGCGCTGACCTAGGAATGTTGGTCATATCAAACATTAAAAATGACCACTCTTTTAATTGAAATTAACTTTTAAATGTTTATAGGAGTATGTGCTGTGAAGTGATCTAAAATTTGTAATATTTTTGTCATGAACTGTACTACTCCTAATTATTGTAATGTAATAAAAATAGTTACAGTGACTATGAGTGTGTGTTTATTCATGGAATTTGAATTGTTTGCCCCGAAATGGATATGGAATACTTTATAAGCCATAGACACTATAGAATACCAGTGAATCTTTTTATGCAGCTTTTAAGTTAGAAATATCCTTTATTTCTAAAAGGTGCTGTGGATATTATGTAAAGGTGTGTTTGCTTAAACTTAAAACCGTATTTAGAAGTAGATGCAAAACAAATCTGTCTTTATGACAAAATAATAGAATAACATTATTTATTTCCTTTTATCAAAGAAGGTAATTGATACACAACAGATGACTTGGTTTTAGGCCCAAAGGTAGCAGCAGCAACATTAATAATGGAAATAATTGAATAGTTATGTATGTAATGCCAGTCACCAGCAGGCTATTTCAAGGTCAGAATAACTCCACACATATTATTTCTATAACTACATTTAAATCATTGTCAGAAACTTTGTTTTGGAGTGAACCTTGAGTATGTGCTGTTAATGTATCAAATTGGGTGGAAAAAAAAGGGATTCCTTTCAAAAGTTAAGAGAAATAAGAAATTATTTTCCTTATTAAATATTCAGTAAATGGCATTCTCTTGTCAGTAAAATGGAGAAATAAGCTAAAAATAATTGGCTAAGTCCTATTAAGTTACAGGATTAAGTGTATTATATTTTCATTCAAAATTGGGTGTTCATTAATTTATAATCAGTAGTATAGCTAAATTGCTATGTTTGTATCAAAATTGAGCATTAAGTTGCTGATAATTTCTCAGCATGAACAGAAGTTGAAACCTATTTAGTTCAGTAGGGCAGCTCAGGGATTTTTTACACAATATGTATATCTTCCTATTTTAAGTTAGAATTAATTCACATTATCTGGTACACATAAACAGCTGGCACTGATTGTCAGCTAAATTAAAGTAGTAATGATCAATGGCTGTTTGTCAGCTAAATTAAAGTAGTAATGATCAATTAGTTTTGTTGGTATCTGAATAATAGCGTTGTTTCATAGCTCTGTATTTCCTAAGGAAGTACAAGGCTTCTAGCTCTTTCATTACAAATTCGCCCTGTGCGATAAGTTCTTTGATCTTCTCTGGATTCTTCACATCTTTGTTTTTAAGGAAAATGTTCTTCAAACGCTTTTTAAAATAGTCTGCTCCCTTTGGATAGTCTCGTCCAAGATACAGCAGCTTCAAAAAGAAAGATTATGTATTTCTGAACAATCCATGTCATATAATAACATTTTAATAAAATTGGCAACATAATTACTTACATTTTTATAAAGTTTTAGTACTTCTCCTCTTAAAGAATTGGCCATTTTCATTTACCATGTAAATTATCCACTTTTATGCGCAACATGCCTAAAGAAAGGAAAATTTTTTGCAGTTAGCTGCATTGTAGTCTTAAAAAAATCAAAAAAGGTTATACACACTGAGAAAATAACTTCTGAAAAATTCAATAAATATTTCTTGAGAACTTTTTTGTTCCACGTACTGGGATATAGTTATAAACACTTCAGATAAAATAACCTGCTGTCACAGAACTGACTTTTTCCTACGGGACACTAAGCAAAGACGACGATGATTATGAGAGGTCAGATGAAGGAAGGAAGATGAGAAAGTGGATTGTTACAGATAGGTACGTGCACCTCCTTTTATGCCACAGTGGAATGAGCTAGATTTAAATCCTAGTTGCATAACGTACAGATTAATTAACCATGCTGAGCCTGAGTTTTCTTTATCAAACGAGACATTTATCTTTACCCTACTCTCAAGGCAAGGCCAGATCCACTTGAAGGACATTGAGCAGAAGCCTGATCAAATCTTGATGGCTGCTTATCCAAAGGGAGGCTAAAAACTAGCAGAAACTGGGTGAGTTAAACAGGTTGGAATAGATGGGCAGTAAGATTGGTGGTGAAGAGGCCAAGTGAACAACCTGTAAGAGGGTGTCCCTGAGGAACAGGTGACATCCAATGGGATAAATCATGCTTCTTTATGTGTAATATGTTAATGCTACTGAGTCGAGGAGGCTCCTTAAAGGCATCCTGACAGCCTAAACCTAGAAAATAATTCCCACTACCTGTTACAGTTGAATAGTAAGCTCTTAACATTGCATCCCATCAGGTGGATGCAACTGAAATTTGTTCCATTGTGATTGATGTTAATTTTGATTACCCAATTAGAGTCGTATTTGCTAAGATTGTCCATTATAAAACTATTTCTCTGAGGAACCTAGTCCTTTTAATGGAGAATAGCATTTAGAAACTATAATCTGGATGGAATGTTTTAGAAACCAAGGTCTGGGTGCTAGAAATGCTAATCACCAGAGGACCTGGGAACAGTGACAGTCCCATAAGTGACAAAGCTGCAAGTGTACGTACATGCAGATTTAGGTGTTGTGTGTGTGTGTGACTTTTATATTAATCTCCATATAATCTGCTACCTAACATTCAATTCCAATACTACAGGGTTTATTTTCATTTCGCCTCTTTACATGGGTTTAATACTCTTGCCTAACAATGAGAAGTCTGGTTCCCACTTGTCCTTAATAAATTTACTTTTTATAATCATCACCCCTCCTCTCACTATGTAATCAAACTCCTCTTGCTCTCACCATTCAGTGCACACACACTACTGTCTGAGCTCTGCCACCCAATGCCAGAGTGCCACTGCCACCATCCCACATGCATGGTCTTCTCTTCATCCCCCTTTTTTCCAACCTACCCTTCTTGGGCTCAAGCAATTTACACTGCACCACTTCCTCCCTCCTGGATAAGGCTCGCCTTTTGTTCCCATTCCAAAAACCTGTGCCACCATTTCCTTCACCCTAACAAGATGCCCTCCTCATCCCCTGCTAGGCTGCTGCTGTGCACAAGTCCCTACCCCCAAAGGCCCTCCTCATTGCATTTGGGCTCCAGTACCCCCTCTCTGGGCTACTACCTTGCCAGTCTTTCTCTCGCCCCCCACCCCCCTTCCCCAGATGCCTACCTTGCTCAGTGCCACATAATGACTTTTGGGCTGAATTACTCTGAAGGGCAAGCAGGAAACCACCTTTTTTTTTTTTTTTTTTTTTTTTGAGACGAATTCTCGCTCTGTCACCAGGCTGGAGTGCAGTGGTGCCATCTCAGCTCACTGCAACCTCCACCTCCCTGGTTCAAGCAATTCCCCTGCCTCAGCCTCCCAAGTAGCTGGGACAACAGGTGTGCCACCACGCCTGGCTAATTTTTTGTTGTTGTTGTATTTTAGTAGAGACGGTGTTTCACCATGTTGGCCAGGATGGTCTCGATCTCCTCACCTCGTGATCTACCCACCTTGGCCTCCCAAAGTGCTGGGATTACAGGCATGAGCCACTGCGCCCGGCCGCAACTTATATTTTTAAAATAGCCTTTTAGATCAGTTTTAAGGGTTATTTTATAGTTAACTAGCAGAAAGTGTGGATTAAAATGACAGTACCATACTCAGTTAAAAATCATTATGGATTAAAATTGCAGTACCATACTCAATTAAAAATCATTGTGCTACATAATTTAAGTTCTCCTGTTACTTCTGTTTTGGTTGGACCCCGTAGTACAATAGTGTAGATTCTCACTGTGACTTCACCTGCCCCTTTAGGCGTTTAGCAAAATTTACACCTTTTACAATTTTAAAGTCAGGGTACCAGTGCCTTCATGTATTTCATCTTAAATTTTTATATGTATTAGACATAGAAACTGCATAAAATATGAATGTACAAATACACATCTGGGTACCCATCGTTCAAGTTATGAAACAGAAAATTAGAAGTCTTAGAAGCCCCATGTGCCCCTCTCCAATTGCTTCTCCTTCCCCATCTCTACCAAGATAGCCTCTAGTGACTTCCTGCTTATTCTCTTTAGTTTTCCCACCACTCATGAACATTGCCCTAAATATTTAATTCCGGCAATTTGAGCAGCAAGCACGAATCTAGCAAGGAAAGGGGCAACAATACTGCTGTTAATTAAAGGCAAACAGTCCTAGTCTGGCTTTACCTTCTCCAGGCTTTATGAATCCCTTCTGGAGATGTTAATTTGCAATGTCATGAGTGAATACTGGGCTCCTCACAACTGAAGCATGTGGGAAGATCAGAGTGTAGAACTGATACTTGATTTCCGGCCAATACATAGCAAAAATGGGAAGGAGGAAGACTATTTTCTGCTTTAAGCTCACCAATGCCCAACATCAGCTTTCAGGAATAGGTTGAAAAAGAAGGGTAAAAGTGAGTGTCCTCAGTTGGTCCAGTCAGCATAGCACAGAAGACAGCAGGAATTTCATCACCACATGGTCAAGGCGAATGGCGGTAAGAATCTGAGCCAGGCTTGCCTAGGCATAATGTCCTCAGGTTAAAAAGATGGTACAATGGCAGCAGGGATCTTGGTGGTAACCACCACCAGTGTGAGTCATACTGCTTGATTCTGGACTGACTGCTCTCTACATCAAGAAGCACAACTGTAGTACTGGAATCTCACTTGACCATGCTCCCAGAAATTCCTTTTGCCTATTCTCTATGTTGATTATCCCATTTTCTACATTTCAAAGTGTTCCATTTACTGGTTTTATTTTTGTTTCTGCGGAGCACATCCTAACTTCTTGAAAAGGGTACATGGAAGGTAAATGAGACCCTGGATGTCTAAAAATGGCTGGCTCCCTCTACTTGTTTGATAGCTTGTCTGAGTATAGAATTGAAAGCTGGAAATAATTTTCTTTCAGCATTTTGAAGCAGTTGCTCATCTGTTTGCTTTTACCATTGCTATTAAGAAGTTCAAAGCAGTCCTGGTAAGTGATCCTCTGTATGGATGTATTTTTTCTCTCTCCCCAGAAACTTACAGAATCTTCTCCATGAAGATTTTGAAATGTTAGTGATATGTTGATAATGGATTTATTTTCATCCCTTGTGCTGGACCTTAGTTGGCCCTTGCAATCTGGACGCTTGTTTCCTTCAATTTGGGAAAAAATTTTAAATGATTTCATTCATGATTTCCCCCCTCCCCCATTTTCTTTTTTCTCCCTTCTTGGAACTTTTATTATTTGGATGTTTGAACTTCTAGACACATTCTCTTCCTTTTTTCTCTACTATTTTCCATTTGTCTTTTTTTTAAGCATGGAGTTTTGCTCTTGTCACCCAGGCTGGAGTGCAATGGCCTCATCTCGGCTCACTGGAACCTCGGCCTCCTGGGTTCAAGCGATTCTCCTGCCTCAGCCTCCCGAGTAGCTGGGATTACAGGCATATGCCACTAAGCATGGCTAATTTATGTATTTTTAGTAGAGATGGGTTTTCACCATGTTGGCCAGGCTGGTCTTGAACTCCTGACCTCAGGTGATCCACCCTCCTTGGCTTCCCAAAGTGCTGGGTGGGATTACAGGTATGAGCCTCTGTGCCCGGCCTTTTATTCAGTTTTATGGGGGATTTTCTCATTTTCATCTTTCAAGTGTTCTATTGAGTTTTTCACTTCTGCTCTTCCTGGACAGTTATTTTTGACCACTCAGATTGCTCTCAGCATAGCTGGAGACTACTACAGAGATGTTAAAAATACTAAAAAATTAATAATAGAGTAGCCTGGGAATGGGAGTACGGGCTGGAGACCAGGAAGGAATCAAAGATGCACGAGGCAACCTTTGTGGATAACGGATATATTTATTGTCTTGATTGTGGTGATGGCTTCATTGTGTGCGTGTGTATACATATGCGTATATATGTATGTATACATATCTATATAGTTAGAATAGATACTATATAGTATATAGTATGTAGTTTTCCCACCACTTAGCCCTGTTCTTAAGACTTTTGCTGGCATTTCTATTATTTGCAGAAATATATTAAAATATATATTTACAAATAGAGGCAGCCATTTTCAGTATATAGTATACTATGGTGTACATATATCTACTATGTAGTAGATAGTAGATATATATGTATATAGTACATAGTAATTCCTTTTATTTTGTTTCCATGGAAACAAAAATTACATGTATACTATATATGTATACTTTAGGTAGTATATATACTATATAGCACATATATATCTATAAATATGCATATATAGATGTGTACATATGAACCAAATTTATCGAATTATGCTTTATAAGTGTAACTCAGTGTCAATTCTATTTCAGCAAAACTTAAAAAAATAATAGAAATGCCAGCCAAAGTCTAAGAACAGAGCTAAGGGATGCTGAGGTAACACATGGAAGTAGAAATCGATCTAAACCACAAGGCTGCCAATTCATGGGTAGGAGAGGTGACTCTGCCTGCCCCCAGTCAATGGCTGCACAGAACTTGGGGTATGCCTCGCTGGGGAGGGAACCCTGGGAATATACACTTGAATCAGTGAAAAAATCTGAAAGGCACTTGCCACCAGCATAGCAGTGAAGCCATGACCTTTTCTTGCTGAAGGTCATACATGTACTACTTTTCTGGCTCCTTTCCTAGGGAAAAAAAAAATCACACAGGAACCAACATTACTTCTACATTAATACTTGTAAAATTGTACTTACTACTAGTTAATGAGCTAATTCACATAACAAGCATACTATGTAGGCATTTTTTTCTTTCCAAGTTCACTGATTCTTGCTTTCTTGAAATTTTCTGTTGTTTTACTTCAAATAGCTTTTCTGCTTGCTTTTGTCTCTATCACTTCTGAGCTTTCTTCCAAAGTCTGGTCATTTTCTGTCTACTCTTATGAGTGAAAAGACACAAAAGCTTTTTAGATCTGTATATATGGGTGAAGCATACAGACTCTGGGCTTCACTTAGGGTGCTCTGAGTGGGCCTTTACTGAGGAACGTCTGATGTCAGTATCTTGGATTGCTCCTCCTGGGCTAGGCAGTTCCTCAGAGTTGAGTCTTCCAGTCTTCTAAAGATTTGCCTATTAAACATTAAAAAGTGAAAGAGGAATGCAGGCCCTGTATCCAGCATTATTATACCTAAATTCACTTAATTTTGTTTCCAGTGTGCTTCTCTAGAATGCCTGAGGGTGCCCCAGTCCAGGGACTAGTATTACTTTGTCCAGAAACCTCTAGTCTTTTATGGGAGTAAGGGGGTAGAGTTACTTAGAGGTGTTTCTCAAATAGCTTTCATGTAGTCCACTTCCAATTTCAGGGCCCCTGTTTCAGTGCCTTTTGAGAATTCTGCAGAGTAAATTGGGTTTTTCTGGTGTGCTAAGTCACATTCATTCACCTGTTTTCCAGCTTCTGAAGTTTTATTGCTGTTATCTCCTGTCCCAATTTTTCCAATTTATTTTTATATCATTTTACTATAGATTTAGTAATTTTGGAAGGGAGTAAAATTAGATGAGAGTATTTAACCCACTATATTAACTACTTCATTTTTTAAACTTCTTTTTGGCAGACAGCCATTAGCAGTGTGAAATAATCTTACTAAGAATGATTCTTAGGCTGGGCATGGTCGCTTGTACCTGTAATCTCAGCACTTTGGTAGCCCAGGGCCGGAGGATGGCTTGAAGTCAGGAGTTTGAGACCAGCCTGGGCAACATAGTGAGACCTTGTCTCTACTAAAAGTAAAAAAATATTAGCCAGGCATGGTGGCGTGTGCCTGTAGTCTCAGCTATTTGGGAGGCTGAGGTGGGAGGATCGCTTGAGCCCAGGAGGTTGAGGCTGTAGTGAGCCATGATTATTCCACCACTCCAACCTGGGCAAAATTCTCAAAACAAAACAAACAAGCAAACAAAAAACACCTCTTGGGAGCCATGTTCTTTTCACATAATTTAAAATTAAATCTACATAGAAGTAATTTCAAATTGCAAACTATAACCTGTTTAATGCCTAACAGCACACCTTCATTTAATTCACAATTTGTAACTTGTGAAAGCTTTTAGGGACCTGGCTTAAGTTGTCCTTTTTAGTTGTTGGTCTTTTTACAAATTATGTATTATAAAAGACTTGCCTAGCAAAAATGCAACCAGTGTGGCTAAGGTAAATTTGTTCTTCTTTGATATGTTATATGAATTAATGCAGTTCATCTTTTTTTTTTTTTTTTGAGATGGAATCTTGCTCTGTTGCCCAGGTTGGAGTGTAGTGGTGTGATCTTGGCTCACTGCAACCTCCCTGTCCTGGGTTCAAGCGATTCTCATCTCAGCCTCCAGAGTAGCTGGGATTACAGGTGCCCGCCACCACGCCCGGTTAATTTTTCGTATTATTTTAGTAGAGACAGGGTTTCGCCGTGTTATCCAGGATGGTCTCGATCTCCTGACCTCGTGATCTGCCCGCCTTGGCCTCCCAAAGTGCTGGGATTACAGGTGTGAGCCACCATGCCAGGTAATGCAGTTTATCTTTATGCAGTTGACCTTGAAGCACTTAGGTTTATTTTAGCCATTAAGAGAAACAGGTCTCCTTGGGTTCACAATGTAGTGAATAAACAATTTGAGTTCAGCAGGGCCTGAGGCTGCTCCTGAACTCTGCACGAAGTCATGGAGGTTACTGTTTTAAGTAAAGAGCCAAGAGTTAAGGACTAAGAGAAGCCCCCTATTATTCTGAAAACTTGGATGTGTGCGCTGGATGAGACAGCGGTTGCAGTCCCCATTGATAGTTTTTCCCCGCTGCCATTCTAGGCTAAGGAGTTAAGACTTTACCAGTTTCAGTTCTAGGCTAGTGGAGAATTGTCATTTTACTGGGGGTTATGTGGTGCCCAAAGTTGTTAACCATTGTTCCCCACGGGGTAGATACAGTAAGAGCTTCAGTAAAGCCTTTCCTCTAAAAGCCCACTATTTTAAGGTAACTTGGGATTACTGTACTGTCTCTTTACCCCCAAGAATCCTAATTTGAGTTGACTGAGGTGTTTTATCATTAAACATTAGTTTTCCTGAAACTAATTTAAAAGGAAACCTTAACTTCCACACCAAACAGCCACGGCAAACTGAGTAAGAACTCTGTACGAAGTCGCTATTAAAATATTTTTATCTTGCTACCAGGATACGGATGTAAAATGCTAATAACTATTACACAACCTGTAATAGTTACAGGTTACAATGGGGATAATAACACTTTAACCCATAAAGACTAGCTTAGTCCTACTACTTATCTATGAATAATGCATGTAGCCAATAACACTGGAAGGGATGGAGCATTATAAACTTAGAATTCAGAAATGAGAAATGGTGCCAGTAATTTAAAAGTATTTTCAGGTCTCATAATGCTAAAACAGGGTGCCCTACAATTACAGAGAACTCAGTCGGGCTTGAGGAGAACAGCCTCACTTAATTGTAGTTTTCCTGGCGGTGTAAGGTGCCAGCGTTTCTTCGTGTGGGAGGAGACTGAAATTCTGAAGGTTGTGCTACTCATTAGTACAATTAGTCTGTGACCTTGGGAAACTAATGAGTATTTGGGGCCTCACCGATCTTCATGTTAAGGAATATTTTACCCAGGAATTGCTTCATTTTCTATTCTTGTTTAGGGCGCTCTTAGGAAAAAGGACACGTACGCGGCACAGAAAGTAAACAATAGAGCAGAGAGAAGAATCCGAAGGTCAATAATCTTAAAATAAACAACCCTCTGGAGTCAACTTACTTCCCTCTTTAAATTGCCGAATGAGCCCCATCCCCCTGCTGGCTTAAAACGCAGTGGCCCGGGCCGCCCACCGGGTGTCCGCTGCTTGAACCAGTCCCATGCCGGTTCCCTTCTCGAAACCCTCCCAGAAAGACTGAGCCCCAACACACTCTAGGAAATAAACTGTCAAGGTCAGGAGACGCTCAGAACCCTCTTCCCACAGCCGGTGGTCCTCGCCCAGAGCGTATTTCGCCTGCAGACCCCAGGATTCGGGAAACGGAACAAAACTCCCCGGCACCGGCACTCACGCACTTTCCGGCACGCCGGAGCCGCAAAACCTTCAACCGCTTCAACTCCTCTGTCCGTCTACTGCGAAGCGCGGTGGGGTTTGGGGAGGAGGGCAACCTGTCAGTAAAGGGGGCGGGGCGCCGGCCGGAAGAGCCTGCTGCGGCTGCGCTCTTTTCCTGGAGCGCAAGTGGGCGGGACCTGTCGTCCGGACAACCCGGGAGCGTTTGTTCACATAATTTCAGCTTCGACTCTGCTGACTACTGCGGTGGAACTTGACTCCTAATGGTGAGCAAGGCAAATGAGGCAGACAGGTGGAG